AAGTCTGTATAATACTGGTGCATAATATTCGTGGTTTGTGTCTTTTTTTTCTTTCGGGCATCTGAATTAGAGGCTTTGTCTGTTTTATTGATCTTTGCAAAGCCCCATTTTTTATTTCATTGATTCACTCCATGTTTCTGGCCGCCATGTCATTGATCGCTGTCCTCGCCTTGATTCTTTCCCTGCTTCTGCTTGCTTTGGGTTCAGGCTTCCAGTGTCATCAGATGGAAGATGTCTTTTGTTCTCATTCCCCAGAGGCAGCAGGCTCGTGGCCTGGGTCGCGAAGAGGGAGCTGCCCTGCACGGTCAAGTGGGAGAGAGAGAGAGAGCCACTCTCTCCGGTGTCCTGCCCTATCCCACTGTCGCTTGGGAGCCCTGAGAGGCTGGAGACAGGGCGTGGTCTTTGCTGTGTCCGGGGCTCCCAGATGTGCTAAGCGGTCACGCTACCCCACGTGTGGTCTTTCAGGATTTATGGAAACGTTAGCTGTTTTCTGCTCCCCGTCTTCGCGGCTGCCCGTCTTCTCCGTGCTCTGCTAAAGGCCTCTCCGCAGAAGGGCTGGCCACTCCTCGATTCGGAATTTGCTTCCTTTTATTTCCTTGTGGCCTTAGCTCAAGCAAAACTGGTATTGCGGGTCTGGCCACTTCTTCTCATTCCTGGGTTAGGAGTGGTGTCCTCTTTGCAGCGTCTACATCCTAAGCATGAACTGACCTTTGGAAACAATGAAGGAGAGAAAGAAAAAATGCCTTTTTGTGTTCATGATTCATATTGCTTTCTATTAAATGTTTTTAACTGTTTATTTTTGAGAGAGAGAGTGTGTGTGTGTGTGAGCATGAGCAGGGGAGGGGCAGAGAGAGAGGGAGACACAGAATCCGAAGCAGGCTCCAGGCTGCAAGCTGTCAGCACAGATCTCGACGCGGGGCTCAAACCCACGAACCACGAGATCATGACCTGAGCCGAAGTCGGACGCTCAACCGACTGAGCCACCCAGGCGCCCCCATATTGCTTTCAGTTTTAAATAATTGATAGGCAGCCCGTGAGTTTGAGCTCTGAGTCCGGCTCTGTGCTGACAGTGCAGAGTCTGCTTGGGATTCTCTCTCTCCGACCCTCCCCTGTGATGAGGGAGTGTGGGGCGAGCTGAGGGCAAAATACAGGCCGGCACCTGCCTCCCCCCACCAGGAATATGTGTGATGTTCCTCGGACCCTCCTGGTCACCCAGGAACAAAGGAAGGGGGTTTAGGTGCTCGCCGTGGTGATGCAGGAAACTCAGGCAAACGAAGACTTAAATCCCCTTACTGCCTACAGCCCATTGCCATGGCCTTGAAACCAGCAGAGTGCCCTCCCTCCGGGGGCTCAGCTGCCTCGATGATGACACTTTGCTGGGGGCACAAGGGAATGCTGGCTTAACATTATCCTGACCCCCAGGATCCTGTAAGTCTACCTCCTTTATCTCAGCTGCCCCAGGGTACACGCTGGCACCGCTCCTCCAAGCTTATGGCCCCCGGGTCTGAAGGGTCTCATGACAGAGGTTTTACTAAATGGTAATAAGGGGTGTTTCCCTAGCAACAGCTGCCCCTCAAGGCCCTGGAAACCTTGCTTCCGAAATACCTTAGAGACTCACTGGATCCTGCCCCCCTCCCAACCTGAGGGTATATCATCAGGGTATTACCCGTCAGAACCTCAGAGCAGCTTTTACTGCCCACGGGTCCTGTCCCCGGGCTTTAATAAAATCCCCTTTTTGCACCAAAGCCGTCTTCAAGAATTCTTTCTGGGCCATCAGCCCCGGACCCCAGGAATCCCCCATCACCCCCAAACTTCATCACCTGCCCTCTCCCTCGCTCTCTCAAAAATAAGCAAACGTAAAAATGTCTGTATAAAGAGCTGATTGACCAAGTTATCCCTCATCACTGTCCCTTTTCAAAAATATGCAGGCTACTTACACCCACTTATTTCTCATGAACTTAATTTTTCATAACAGCTATTGATTTGTTCTTGCTTATAAAAGTAATACACGTTCACTGCAGAAAACAGAGTATCAAGGAAACAATAAAAGGAAACTAGAATTTTCCACCTACTTAGAGAAAGGGCTCTAACGTTTTAATCTAGGCTCTTCCCCCTGTAGTTTTGCATACAATTATTTAAGTAGAAAGTAATGAACGCTGACAAGGTCAGCAATGCAGAAAGGGAAGAGGTGAACATGCCAGGGGGCTTGTACCCACGGGTAGTGTGACGTCCGCCACTTTCAGAGCTCCGCTGTGCAGATGCCTGCGTGATGCGAAGGCTCGCAGGCCCCAGCCCTGCCCCGCAGTGAAGTTTTGGATTTTCCTTCGCGCACGTCTTGTGCCTTTCTTCTTGTGCTTGCGTGGTTGAACCGTGTCCCGTTTACCCTCTATTCTCCGATCATTGCAGGGTTTTGCCTTCTTTTATTACTGGCGGCAATTCCCAATTAGCCATGATTCCAGTAGTTTCCTGCTGGTGCCTCTGGAAACTCAGTTAGAGCAACATTTCCTGGGCAGGTAAGAAGGGACGTCTCTGTCTCCTCAATGAGGACGCCCACCTATTGATTATTTTCTCATTAAATTTAATTGGCCGTGATTTCTGGTATTAGGTAACCGGGATGACAAATGACATTTTTATCCCAGAGCAGCTACTTTCACTTTCATCATTTTGGAGGCTTTCATAGAAAACTGTCCATTTCAGGGAGATTTTCAAATCTACCCGCATAAAAATGTGCATGGCATTCTCTTCGGCTTTAAGAACACCCTCCTTGTATCTGTGATGTCCCTTTCCTTCTTCTTAATTTAATCGGTTTTCTTTTTCTCCTGATTAGACAGGTCAGAGATCAACGACAGTACTCGTTTATTTTTAAAGAATCAGCTACTGATTTAACACGCCCTATTGTTTCTGTTTCTTAGTGATTAGTTTCTGCTTTACTTTTTTTTCATTTCCTTCCTCCAGCACCAGCACTTCCTAATAGGTGAGAAAGTCCACTTTCCAGTTTACACATTAAGAAAGTGCAGGCTGTACAGAGGCGTCGCAAGCAAAATCGGAAGGAAACAGGATCCTGCAGGAATTTCATCCAGGAAATTGGGCATAAAATAAAGCTCACTGCTTTCTTTTCCCCCCAATTCTTCCCAGAACCTTAAAAGGGCCAATACTCATTCAGAATGGCCCAGAACATTTCGTTTAAGCTCCCCCACACTGATTTGTTAGAAAAAGCATCTTTTCTTCCTTCTGGTCTTCTTTTAGGCGTGAGGTGCCTCAGCGTCAGCACAGGGAAACTCTCCCTCGTGCCGTCATTTAAAATGCATAGTCTCAGGGGCGCCTGGGTGGCTTAGTCGGTTAAGCGTCCGACTTTCGCTTAGGTCATGATCTCGCGGTTCGTGGGTTCGAGCCCCGTATCGGGCTCTGTGCTGACTGCCAGCTCAGAGCC